CAGCTCTTCCCAGTTGCATTTTGAGTGTCTTCCAAGCTGAGAGAAGGGCTCACCTGTTGGAACTAGCTCTGACAATGTTGTTTATAATATTTTCATTATGCAATCATTGTTGTTAAGAACTGTTGAGTCATTTCCGACTCTTTGTGACCCTGTATTGGATTTCCAAGGCTTTAAATTTTCAAGGGAGAAAAAAGCCTCATCTTCCTTTCACGGGGTGACTGGTGGGCTTAAACTGTGGACTTTGTGGTTCACAATCTGATGCTTATTGTTTGAAGCTACTCACCCAAGTACAAAGGCCTGAGAACCTACATTCCACAGCTCCCTGTCCCTAATCACTTTTTCCCTGGGGACTCCAATTCATCACGGTGGAGAAGATTTGAGGCCAGGCGTTTTTAATGTCTTCCATTCTCCTGGGCCCCTAACTGATGGTGCTCTATGCCAAGCTCGGCTACAGAGCATGGACTCCCACAGTCATATATGAGTGTAAATCTTTCTCTTCTATTCTCTTATATGACCTGGAATCTAAGGACACAGGTAGACAAATCAGAGAAAGGCTGTATTTTATAAGCAGATTCTAGGAGCTCATGTGAACTATTCTAGCAGCAAATTTTGGCCACATAGTATGATGTGGCTTTCCTATGTTAAAAATATCACAACAGTTATAATTTTAGGAAGAGTTTTGTTAGGTGCCATCATTTTGGACATGACTTCTAGTCTCTGAGAAGTAATGTCTAGAGGATGCTATTGCTCTTGCCACCTCAGGCTCCAGGTGGCCCACCATAGGAGCAGACTCTGGTATTTTTGCTTACTTGAGTACATCACTTTCTTGAGTTCATCTTCTCCAAGGGTTACCTGCTGTTTTATTATTTGTAACTTTTTAAAGGCCATTGATTGGTGTCCCTGGAAGTCTGCAGTTCTTGCTGTTGGAGGAGGAATGAAGGATGGGCACTTAAGTATCTTGGATATAAATACAGGGAAGAATATCCAGTCTCCAAACACCAATTCCCAGGTACACATCTCCACTGTAGTTCACTGTCCTTTTGAGTCTTCTAGAATCCTCTGGATATATTTTGTCTTGTAGCATTGAACCTAAACATATCTCCCCATGACTACTGAGTCTATAAGAAATGTTAGTTCTTCAGAATTTCTTTTTATAAAATATCTTCATTGGTGAGTCCTAAATTGTGTTTTCTTTTTCTTCTTATTTTTTTGTTTCATGTTTACCTTCTTTCTCACCATTGTTTTGATTGTAAAACTTCAGAGTAGTCTGGCCATTCCTGTCTAATGATCACAGAGCAATTAAATTTGTATATTCATTGCACCAAAGTTTAATAGAGTACTTTGTGTTTTGCTTTCTTGGGATGTACTTTCTTAGAACTAATATAACCTCTGAACTCCGGTTGTGAACTGGGCAATAGATGGTGGGCAGAGTATACTGCCTAGAACCAGTTTAAATAATATTCCCAATGAATCCAAAATTTCCATAGTTTTGTGTTTTTTGACATTATTCCAGATTTGTTCCCTTATCTGGCTACCTAAGACAAAGGAAATTGTGACTGGTCAAGGTACTCCCAAGAATGATATGACACTGTGGAACTATCCCTCTCTGGCGAGGTCGGGTGAGCTTTTTGGTAAGTAATGGGTAAGTAAACGTAAATAGGTGCTGTATACCTATAGAAAAGTAATCTTTTATTGTTCGGAAAAGCCCAGAATGAAAGATTTCACCTTGTGTCTCTTTAAAGTATATAATTCATCACAGAAAAAAGGCTTACAGCTACCCCACTTCAGGGAGTCTTTGGAGTTTTCTATGTATAGGATCATTTGTCTGCAAATAGAGAGAGTTTTATTTCCCCTTTGCCAATTTAGATGCCTTTAATTTCCCTATCTTGCCATATAGCTCTGGCTAAGACTTCCCAAACAATATTGAATATGAGTTGTGACAAAGGGCATCCTTGTCTGGTTCCCTTTGGCAGAGGGAAAGCTTTCAGTTTCTCTCCATTGAGAGTGATGTAGGCTGTCGGTTATGTATATATGCTCTTGATTAT